TCGTATCAGTTCCAGAGTCCGACTTGACATCCGATACTTTCGACACAGAATTAACATTCATGGTAATCAAACGCAAATTAGTAGATGTCTCACACTCCAGAATTGAAGTAGTGCCTTGAGTTCCCTTTGTGACATAAAATGTAGCGGCAGCAACACGACGCTTTGAGTCAACTAGAACTTCAAACTTTCCTTTCAACTCAACTGGTTCTGAAGAGCCAAACGCATAGATTCTAGTTTTAGTTTTTCGTAAAGAGATTTGGTCCTTTGAATTTGTACAGAGAAACTCATAGTCCTTTCGTGTCAAAATGTTCACTGAAGCTCTGGTGTCAATCAAAAACTCTACTTTCACCCCATTAATTTTGAGTTTTGTCATGGGTGGTTGCTTCACTTTCTTGGCTCTCGAAACAGCAAATATATCCTCATTGCTATCACTGTCGCTTACTTCCGGTTCACCTTGTACTGTTGGCTCAGTAGAGAGTGGTTGCTGTTGCCGATATTGGTTCAAAGCATTCAACTTGTTTGCCTTCGATTTATATTGGTCCTGAGGCATTCGAGGTTTTCGAGAGATTGGTTTTTGTTCAGACTTACAAACTCGAGCGAAATGTCCAGTTTTTGAGCAATTATGACAGGTCTTGCCTGCAGCAGGGCAGGGCCTGCCTTGGTGGGGGTACGTCCCTCCACAATTATAACAAGTTTGTGCTTGTTTACCTTTTATATCCCTTGGCGGAAAATCTCGTCTGGTGTTTTGATACACAGCCTCCTGACGGTGTTGCTTTTCCATTTCTTCAGCATGGTGATCAGAAATTTCCAGTGCTCTCGCGTATTTAATCCAATCATCCAGCTTGGGGTCATCCCGAAATGCTTTCCTTCTGAGTCGACTAGACCTGCAGTTCTCCACGATTTGTGTTTTAATCTCGTCCTCTACATTATCGAATTCGCATGTCGAGGCACGATGTCTCAGTCGTGTACAGAATTGGTCAATTGTTTCGTCAGATCGCTGGCTGACTTGGCGAAAAATATGTCGCTCGTATAGAATGTTTTTCTTCGGCGCGAAATACTCTGTCAATTTCTCTATGGCTTTATCGAAGTCGTTCTCTTCTCCCGTATCAGAGAGCGTGGCAAATATTGTTTCCACCTTTGGACCGGCCAGGTATAACAATACGCTACTAGAACACAACAGGTCTTTACAGAGAAATATCAGACCTCGGTCTTTTTGTACAAACCTCGCTCTACAGGCTCGGTCTGTAGTCTGTACAAAAATACCTCGGTCCAATATTGGGAAAACCACTTTAGGGGTTAGGGGTTATGGTTAGGATTGCTCAGGTATATACCTAACATGGGTACTACCCGAATTCTAAAATTTAGAATCTTGGTTAAGTACCCATTTAGAAGTAGCGAAACGGTTGGTCAGGAAGTTTTCTATCCAGTTATTTTACAATCCATGCTGTAACTAAACAGACAACGGCAAAATCTTATCTATTTGTCTTATACATGGTGTATAAAAAAAGAGAAGGTAATCGAACTTCAGCGCGCTACTGTATCTGAATTACTCTGCGTATGAAAGAGATTTTTTTCATATTCAGGCGAGACTTTTTTTATTCATTGGCTTACGGATCCGCCGACCGTAAATATTCAGAAAGTGAAAAGTAAAAAAAAAAATTTGGATGTCAAAAATTTTACAATTTTAGTTAACTTTAATTAATTTGGGGTTCTGACATGAAGTACACTTCAAGTGAACTTTGACTCTAGGTACTGCTGGCTCATGTTATCGTTGTGACAATCAATATGTAGATTAGCCACGTTTTTTGCGTTTTTCTGAAGTTGACGTTAAAAAAATTTATAAATATTAATTTCGGTTCTCAGTTTTTTAAAAAATTTTTTCCGACCTACCGACCTCTTATTTTTAAAGTCAAATCTGTAAACCAATAAATAAAAAAGGTCTCGCCTCAGAAAGATCAGGCTTTTAGCTGAACTCTTAGTGGTGTATCCTTTAATAGACCATGGCTCTCAACCAATGAAAGCACTTGAATTCTTAACGTTATTATATAAAAATGAATAGATCATTTTATCACGAATAGGAAATTTTCAATTTTAGAAAACTGCGCCGTACACTGGCAAGACAACAGAAGTGAACTTCAATGATGTAATAATCAGAAAGACAGAAGTTCTATATTTTGACTACGCAGTGATATCTTTGGCAAGTAACAAGACGACATCTTCGCAACGGTTGAAATTTATGACTGATCGAACTTCATGTAAGTTAAAAGACAAAGACTATTTAAGGATAGGTACATTAAGGGCAAATAGGTAGATCTTGGATTTTGAGAGGCCCGATGTTTATAACCTGCAGAATCGTTCACAGAGAGCTTTTGAGATTGAAACCTGTTGCGAAAATTTTATTTACAACAGTCGAGATGCGATCTTGCTAATAGGCGGTCCAGCTCAGTTCCCATTTTAATGCAAAATGAAATTTAGTAGGAAATAATGCAACAGGCGGGATCTCGCCTAAACTGGCCAGCTCATGGTACCCGGGCTAGCTCTCAGGCTCGCCCCATTTAAACAGCCCCTAATACTGTGCTGTTTTTACCACATTAAAAGTAATTTCTGTTTTTCATTGTAAAGCTACGAAATGCAGTATTATTGGTGGGGTTACATATATATCATGGAGACCGCAATGGAACTGTTTTGACGAGAATATAATCGAACAAGCACAATTCTGTTTCTACGATGGTCCGTGTTTCCCTGTGTGTGAAGCTTCGTTTTTCGCGAATGGAACTTTTCGTGCAGCACGAACTTACGAGGATGAAATCATTAACGTTTGCCGCAAACGAGACGACGACTGCAAGTTTATATCCGATCAAGATTCTACTAAAATTAACAATGTTTCTAATAAATTTATCAATGTTTTGTGGTCACCTGAAACTCGGAGAATAACTTGTGCTTTGTTCAGGACTTGTATGCATTATACTTACACATTTTCAGTCAAGGCATTCTCATTCAATGATGGAAGAGAGAGGATACTAGATAATGTTGACGTCTGCCGTGAAAACAC